TTTTCTTCTCCCTCTTTGCTTCTGAAGCTCTGTGAGGCAGAGGCATCCTCTACCATGTGCACTGCCATCTTGTCCTGCCTCAGTACAGGCCCAAGGCAATGGGACCAAGTAACTATTGACCAAACCTATGAGCCAAAGCAAACCTTCCCTCCTTTAAATTGATTTGTCTCAAGGGTTTTGTGCCAGGGATGGGAAGCTGACTAACACAGTAGTTGAGGGCACTGAGACAGAGGGGGCACAAGGGTTAACCATAGCTGCACAGCAAGCTGACCCTCTGCACAGACGGAGGAGAAGCGATCATGTGGAGCAAAGACTTTCCTTCACTAAACTTTCCAGTTATCATAATGCTGGCTCGTTGCATTTCATTTGGAAGACACCACAGGTGCCCAAAGGAAAGGAATGGTCTGGAATCACATTCTTGAGAGACAATCACTGCGAATATCTGGGTCTGTCCCCTGGAAAGATGGTCTAGTGCCTGGAATTTGGGTCTGCAGTGAAAGCTGGAGTTGATGGTGGGCTGTGAAATTTCCCCAAATGTCCAATTATAGGAAATAGCAGGGTTCCATTGTGTCTACAGGAAGACCAGCATCGCCTCTGGGCCTTCAATCCTGGGACTATCTTACTCCAAGCATGCCATTCACTACATGAATGCACTTGCCAGGGGCCCAGCGCTGCGCACTGGCAATGCAAACACGGATGAGAGACAGTGAGCGTCTTCCCCTTGGAGATTGCATTCTAGCCGGGAAAATGTTGTGGATGCATCATGATAAGTACGGAGAAGCTCAGGGCACTGTGAGATCAGACCACAGTGCCTCTCGACCCTTTATGGACCAAGTGAACTTCACGCTAGGGTCAGCCCTGTCTCAGAGCGGCCTGCAGACAGATAACGCACCTGCTCTAAGAGGCGTGAGACATGCGGAGGCTCGGCGGCCCCACCACCTGGCTCACTCCGCTTTGTGAGGCCATCCAGGGGACTGACAGGCATGTTAGGGTCGGACATGCTGGTCAGAGGGAAGAGGGGAAATCAGTGGTCCAGGAGAGCCATTCCATGCTGAGGGCCTGGCAGGCTTGTGTGTGGCTCTGGGTGGGAAGGTGCTTGGTGCTCAGGGCAGTGAAGGGGGGCAGTGTGCTGAGCCCACAGTGGGGGAGGGAGAGGGGTGGGTCTGTAGGGTTGGCATCAGGGAGGGCCTTGGAGGTGCTGGTTGGGGCCAGCCCTCTGTCAGGACAACCTAGATGCTCCTTGCAGCCTTCCAGTTCTTCAACTACCAAGGAGCAGTGGGTTTTTCCTCCCTGTTCCCTTGGGCCGCAGTACAATCAGATCAGTGAACGCACCCGAAAAACTGTTCACAACTGTGAGGTCCCGCGACTGTTGTTTTGAAGAGAAACGGACACTGTGCTTGCAGGCTGCTCAGTGAGTTACCTCCCTGTATCACAAACAAGGGAGCCAGAAGTCAATGTGACCACGGTGCTCCTCTGAGGAGCTTCTTGATTCCGTGGGCCTCCGAACTCTCTGGAGCACAGGCAGAGATGAACAAAGGCAGTCCTTGGCTCCAGCTGTGCATAGCGGGGTGCACGGGGGTGGGATGGTTCCAAGCAGTGGAGCCTGTGGGGTGAGGGCCCCCAGGCCGGCATCTCCGATCCCACCCTACCGGATCTCACTCCGCTGCTGCTGTGTTGTCAGATGTCAAATTCGAGGGACACAGAGGGTGTCCTGGGGGAAGACCCCAACCTTTGTGCTGTCTTCCTCCTAACTTTGAAAGCTAGAGAGAGAAGATAGGGCTTAAAACAAAACAAAACAAACTCAGTGAAAAGAAAATAACCACAGAAGCAAAATAAACAGGACAGCCAAGCATCCTCTGCAAAGCAGAGGCCTTGAATTTCATCGTCTTTTATTCCCATTATTTACTCTTATTAATCGGGTTGAAGTATCTGGTTTCCAGAACTCTTACCTACAAGCAGGGCTCCTCCTCAGCTGCACTTTTGTAATTCTAGACTGGGCTGCATGTGGGACAGGTGACCCGAGAGCTCCCATTTGTTCTCTGTTTTCACAGTCTGCTATGTAGACCTAGGCACTGAGATAGCTGATCAGCTTGCTTTACAACCTGAAACCGCTCCACCTCGCCCGTATCGGCTACTGAGGTTCACATAACTCAGGTCCTCAAAGGTGTTCACAGCACCCTTCCTGCTGTATAGCTTTTATTGTCCCTCCCCACAGTTGAGGCCATTTATTTTGGTTTTAAGTTCCCAATTTAATTTGAAATGATGCTCAAAAAGTTCCAGATTTGGGGGCATTCTGGATTTCAGATTTTTTAGCGTAGGGGTGTGCAATCTGGTAAAGTCTGTGCAAATATTCCAAAATCCAAAAAAACTCTAAAATCTGAAATACTTCTGGATCCAAGCATTTTGTATCATCATCATCATCATCACGATCATCATCATCGTCCTGGTCATCATCAGAAAAAGTCCAAGCAACACAAAGATACAAAGAAGAAAACATTCTCACGGCCCAGGGCCAAGGACTAACACTCTGGCTATTTCCAGTCACTTTCAGCCTCCAGATTCCTATAAAAATTATACAGTAATAAGTGCATTTGCTTAATTAAGGAATATAAGAACACTAAAGCAAAAGCAAAGTCCCTCCTGACTGTCCCACCTTGACTTACCTCCCCCCGAAAAGCACCAAAAAGTGTGAATTTGGTAGGTCTCTTTCTAAATTTACTATTGATTTGTTATATATATAAACATATATATGTATATATATTGTTTTGTTATGTATATATAATCAGCCTTTTCCACTGACATTTTGCACTTGAAATCTGCCTATACTTTTATAACTGATTCATTTTCTACAGCTGTGTACATGGTAGTCCATCATGCTGATAGGTCAGTAATTTATTTATTTCCCTTTGGATGAACAGTTAAGTCATTTCCAATTTCCCACTTCAGCAAACAGTGAAACAAAGAATGTCCTCTTAGGCCATATGTAGGAGTGTTTCTCTAGGACTGAATCCTAGAAGAGGGAATTGCTGGAACATGAGTTACACACATTTTTAGTTTTAACAAGTCCTCCTTCTAGTATACCGGTCCTAACTTAAGTGGTGTTATCACTCTACAAAGGTAGGCACCTCTCCACACTCTAGCAAAAACCATTGCTTCTGGTAAACTTGTCCCTGTAAAAATTTCACAGGTCAGAAATATGATGCTCAAATATTTCTACAAATATGGAACACACAAGCATCAAAAGTTATTCTCATTAATGAGGAAATTTATAAAATGAAAAAGCTGATTCAAAGACCATTTGAGGGACTGGGTTTATAGAATTTTTAAAAAAGTGTTAAGATTGCTATGGTATTTTTTTTTAAATGGTCTTACAGGGCAACAAAAGATAACCTTTAAGGTCATTCTTTCTTTGGGATACAAATTATTTGGATCTCTGCCAGGCACAAATGCACACATTAATATATAACTTCACAGAGTCTTAGCCCTTTGCTAATAATAAACAGCAACGTTAAATGATGATATATTGTCTTAGGAAATTAATACTTGGGCTTTTAAATGATGCTTCAACATGGCATTGAAAGGATGACAATCCCCTTGCCAAACTTCCAGATTTGGGGTAAATCTTCTCAAAATAAAAAGGAAATGTGTCAATTTAGTGGATTAAAAATGGCCTCTGGTTGTGATTAATCTGTGACTTTTCCGCACTTGCTATTTTTACCCGGCCGTCTAGTTTTTGCTGGCTCCAGGTCTCCCTAAGCATTAGTCATAGGGAAACACTTTCTTGGTGACCAAGAGCGCCGGACTCTCTGCGAAGTCAGCCTCCCAGGCAACCCGGGAACGAAGGCCGGGTTGTTGCTGGCCAAGCGATGCACCGCAAAGGGGCCTCGAATATAGGCTTTGGGTTGTGGAAAACATCTTTTCTTCCCATCTCACAAGGTAAAGGACAGAGTAGGTCCATACGATGAGCTCTGGGGATACCGCATCCTGGAGTCCCCCGAGCAGTCTGATCAGAGGTGCCACCTGTGGGTCCGGATCGGCCCAGAGACCCGGCCGCCTGCGGCCCCTGACGGTTCTACAAGGTGCGCCTGGCTTCGGAGGCCCAGAGCTCTGCAAAGGCTGCGGGGCTCTCTGCTGTCCCACTTCGCCCAAGTCTCTCCCAGCACCGACTTCAAGTTTCAAGTTTCGCCGGACAGTGTCGCGCGATGAGGAACTGCCCTCCGCTTCCGAAATCTGCAGGCCCTCCAGAGGCGCCAGCCAGCCTGCCCGGACACTTTCTTAGGGGGCCCCTTTCCCCGGGCGTTTTGCGCCACCCCCTTTCGGGAGGGACCCCCGCCCTTCCCCTCCGTCGGTCTCGGTCCCGCCACGTCCCGCGGCCTAGGCCCGGCCGAGGCACGCCCGGAATGCGCGGGAGGACACGGGGCGGGGCAGCCCGAGGTCCGGCCAGGTCCAGCCCCGGGAGCACAGGGCGGCGCGCGGACGCGGGGACACAGCCGGGCCCGGCCCCACCTCGCGCGGCTTCCATCCCTTCGCGGGCCGGGTGGGGGCGCGCAGCTCCCGGACCTGCAGGTCCGGAGACTCGAGAAACGGAGTAGGAGGAAGTCTCCTCGGCGGCCCGGAGGCGGCCCCCCTCCCCTGTTTCTCGTCCGCGTGCGGGGCGGGGGCGCGCGTTCCGGAGAGGAGGGCGGGGTGCGGCCGCGCGGACCTGGCCACCCCTCCTCGGGGAGGCGGTCGGTCGGCCCTGGGAAGCGCCTTATAAAGCCGCGCCCGCCCGCCGCCCGCCGAGTCTCCCGGCGCCGCCCAGCGCGGGCGCACGCAGCCCGGGGATCGAGAAGCCGGGACCGCGACGGAGGCGCAGGGACGCGGGCCCCGGGCGGACCTAGCTCGGGACGGAGCGGGACCCCCGACGGACCCCGGGCCTCGCCGGGCCCCAGGATCAGCCCCGGCCCCCGGCCGCAGGACGCCTGGCCCCGCGCCTCCCTTGTGCGGGCGGCGGGCGGCGGGGCGAGGGCGCCCCCCGGCGGCGAGGGCATGCGCGGCCCGCGGCATGGCCTCGGCGGTGTTTGAGGGCACGTCGCTGGTGAACATGTTCGTGCGCGGCTGCTGGGTGAACGGCATCCGCAGGCTCATCGTCAGCCGGCGCGGCGACGAGGAGGAGTTCTTCGAGATCCGCACCGAGTGGTCGGACCGCAGCGTGCTCTACCTGCACCGCAGCCTCGCCGACCTGGGCCGCCTGTGGCAGCGGCTGCGCGACGCCTTCCCCGAGGACCGGCCGGAGCTGGCGCGCGGGCCCCTGCGGCAAGGTGCGGCCGGCGCGGGGTGCGGAGCAGCCGGGCTCGGGCGGGAGCGCGGGCATCGGCCAGGGACAGCTGGGGCGTCCGCTTGAGGTCGGCACAGGCTCCGGGCTCGGGCGGGCGGAGCGCCCACCTCGTCCTCCTGGACCCGGCCGGCGGGACGCACGGCGCCCTGGTGCCGCCCGGGGTCCCGCCCCAGGGGTGAGTTCGCATCCGACCTGGTTAGGTGCAGCTGCCTGTTCCCTGGCCGGGACTCGTTTCCACAGGCTGCAGGGGCTTCTTTTCCAGCTGGGGAGGGGGCTGCAGGCGGGGAGGGAGCCCGACGGAGGGGCAGAAGCTGAGACTGGAAAGTTGAGGGTGGGGACGCGGGACAGGAGGACAGAGTTGAGTGGGGTCCTCCCGTGTGAGGGACACTCGGCCCCTACCCCTTGCTTTCTGTCATCGTCCTCAGGCCGAGACGGTGGGGGCTGCCCGGCAGAGCCTGTCCGCGGCGTCCCGTAACCTCTCCCCGCGGCGCCCAGCCCTGTGAGGCATATGGGTGTCTCCTCTGGAAAGGCTCCCGAAGCCAGCAAGTGCGAGGCCCTGAGAGTGCGTCCATGCCCAGGATTCTCTTGGCAGCAGGGTACCGCGAAACTCAAAGTAGTTGAGTTTTATTTCATGCATGGAAGCTACTTATCATCGTTAGTATTATTACTTGCAGGGATGGGAGTTGAACCAAGACTTTTGCACTGAGTCAACCCCCACCCCTTTTATTTTTATTTTTTATTTTGAGACAGGGTCTTGCTAACTTGCTAAGTTGCCCAGGCTGGGCTCAAACTTGTGATCCTCCTTCTCAGCCTACCAGGGTGTATATTTTTAATTCAACCAATAATCCCCCAAATCAGGAAAGCATAGTGAAGGAACAGGAGCTTATTCGGTGGCCTTTTCTGAAACAAGGCAGAACATAAACAAACTGGACTTCCCAAGCCCCCCTCTGACTATGTCTGGGCTCTGGCATGACCCGAGGCGGGCCTGCTGCAGTCCAGTTCCTCACCTGGGACATGGAACCTATTGGCTGTGTCTTTGCGAGGTTGACGTGCTGGGAGAGGGTCTGACAACAGAAAGCTACCGCCAGCCGCCAGCGTTAGCTGCTGCTCCTTGCGGCTGCCCAGATGTGGAGGGAACGTGTGTGGTTCCACCTTCCTGGAGCAGAGCAGTGAGAGGAGGAACGTGCCTTGCCTGGCCGAGTCCCCAGCCGGCCTCTTTGGCATTGGTGCTCATGATGCTGGGGTCCATTCCAGGGCTGTGCCTTGTGTGAACACGCTGAGTGTCCCGGAAGAGCGAAGGAAGAGATATTTAGGAAGTCGTGATTTATCATGGGGAAGGAGAGTGAGAAATAGGCCAGCCTTCTTCGGATATCTAGAGGAAAGCACCTCAGAAATGGGCATCCGGGCTGGGGCCGCGGGGTGAAGACAGGGCAGGGCCTTGGCTGGGGAGTCACTGCGGCCGGGTGCCCCCTGCAGAGGTGGAAGGGGGTCCTGGCCCAGAGGGGCTGACCGCCAGCCCTGTCTCCATTCTGCCCTTTACCTCTGCTTGCAGGGTGGTGGGCCCTTCCCCTGTGAAGCCCAAGGAAAGCTTTTTTCTTCCTCAGATCCTTCTAAGTCCAAGGAAATCATTTGATAAGCAAACTGCACCATAGTAACAGGGAAGCTCCCACCTTATTTCCACGTAGATTTATTATTTGCGTAGAGAGACTGTCTGGATTTGCAAACAGACATCGTGTTGTGATGGTAATGCCAGCTTTCCTCAGTGTGATTTCCCATCAGATTCCCTCATCTGTATTTATTAAAATTTCTGGGCTGGGTTAAATTTGTGCTGTCTGGTTTCACTCAAAAGCTTTGGGAGGAAATCTGGGCTCTGAGTCTTCAGGCAGCGGGCTGGCAGCAGCCTTTGGTGTCTAGCTGCACACTTGGGTGTGGGATCCTCAGCACCCGCCTTGCGTCTTTGAATTCGTGAACAAATAGCGGGACATGAGTCCTTTTTCTCGGTCCCTAAATACAGCGTATCGCCGGAGAGGTTTGCCTGGAGAGGATCTCACCTCCTCTTGCTGCACACCTGGCGTGGTGTGGCTTAGCAGCTCGCCATGGGCCGTATGCGTGTCCGGATGACGTATCCGCAGGGATATTTAAGCCCCTGCCTGGGGTAGGGCACAGTGCCCACCAGCGCGCCTGTCTCTTGCCTGGTGCTGGTGCACAGCTGGTCTCAGGACTTGTCTTGCTCCTGTCCTGCTCTTCTGCTCTTGGAATCTTGTCCTCTCACTGGACCCTCTTGTAGACCCGGACGTAGCTAGACACACACACCTCTTCCTTTCCTGTCCCCAGCCCCAGGGAGGGAGGTCACTGTTTCCTGGGGAAGACACCGACGGGTCGTCAAGGTGTTCCCTCTGGCGCTCTCCACTGCGGCCCCGCTGGGGTCCTGTGTGGATTTTAAACCCTCCTGCCCTGACCGAGGTCTCCTCCTGTTTAGATCTCTCGCATCTAGGAAAACATGCAGAGTCCTCCTGACTGCACGGGCTTTTGGATTCTTCTCATTCTTTTTCCAGCAGCCCCTCTTCCAAGCCTGTGATGTCAGGGCTGGCTGGGTCACAGTGCTGCAGGCTCAGGTGAGCTTTGGTTCCTGGGCTGCGAAGCCAGCATTCAATCGAATATTGCTGTGCGCCTGCACTGTGCTGAGCACCCTCCTGGTGCGCGGTTAGGGACACTGCAGGAGCAGACCTCTACCACTGTCAGTCAGTCAGTCAGTCAATCTGTCTGTCCTTCGTGATTCATACGTTCTGGGTGGGAGAAATCCAGTCAGAAGCAAGACTGGCAAATGATGGAGTACGGTCGATAGTAATAAATGTGCAGAAGAAAACTAAGCCAAGAAGGAGCTGTGCTTTTAGAGTAGGGAGGGGCAGCTTGTAGACAGGATGGTCGGGGACATCTCCTGCACACGTGACCTTTGACCTGGAGGATGGTGACCTTTGAGGATGGAGCAACCCGATGAATGCAGTGCAGAGGCCCTGGGGCTGCCTGTACCTGATGGGTTTGAGTATCGAGGAGGCCACGGGGCAGGAGTGGAGAACGCGGGCCAGGCAGTTAAGGTCAGAGGCCGATAGATCTGAGTCTTGGGCTGCTGTTCAGAAGTGCCTGTCATCACGGGGGGCTCTGAGCCGAAGATTGGTTTGATCGGGCTGTGGTGTGAGATAGGCCAGAGCAGAAGAGGGAGGAGCGCGGAGGAGCCTAGGTGGAGGGGCCGGGGCGGAGGTAGAGGAGCCCGGAGAGATGGGGCAGAGCACGGTGGGCCTGGTAGGGCAAGGTCAGTGGCGGTGTGGGACGAGGACGCCCGCTGAGCGGGTTTCCGTCCTGAGAGGCGGGGTTGCCATGGGAGTGGGGCCGCTGGCTCCGAGGAGCTGTCTGGGGGCGGAGGCAGCCGGAGCGGGCCAGCCTCCGGGCGTGTCCCGTGATGTCCTCTCTAAGCAGGGCAGTGGTGCGGACCTGCGCGCTGGGCGTGCTGGGCTCCTGTTGCGATCTCTACCCACCTTCCTTCCGGGGATGGTGCCCCTGCCTGCTGTGGGCCATCCTCCCGGACTCGGAGACAGGACACGAGGAGACCACCCAGTCCACCCAGTCGGCCCGCGCCTGACAGCTCCAGGGGCCGTGGCCCTGTGCCCACGCTGTTAGGGGACGCGGGGGAGGACAGTCCCCGGCGGAGGGCCAGCTGCGGTCACGGTGTCTGCCTTCTTGTGAAGGAGATGGGACAAACAGCAGGGCCAGAGGTCTGGTGTGGTGTCCACCTCCACGCAGCCCACTCTGCTCTCCCTTCTGCTCTTTGTCCCCGCGTCTGCCCCCAGCTGCCCACCCAGGCTGCACCCTGACGTCCTTGTCCCTTTTCCTTCTCCATCGATGCCCTCTTGGCCGGGCTTGGATTCCGGTTCCCTGATCTTGTGCTCACAGATCTCACACTGTGCCAGACCCCTGGGGTCCCAGAGTCACCCCCCAGAGGTTTGGTAGCTTGAGTCCAGGTCACTGTTGCGTCCCCCAGTGTCAGAGGAGAAAGTTGCTTCTGCTCTCCGTGCACTGGAGATCGCTGAGAAGCTGCTGGCAGCGCCGCTGTCCTCGGCTGTCCCCCAGCCAGGACGTGGGGACCCGTGCCTTTGAAAAGCAGCTCCAGGCCTGATCTCCCTCTGCTGTTTTTCAGAGGCAGAGGATGTGGGGTAAGTGGTGGGGATACGGGCAGAGCCAACACGCCAGGGGCCCATGGAGTGGACGCCAGCTGTCTTTCGCCCCAGTAAAGCTAGGGGGTGGCCGGTGCTCACGGGCTGGGACCCGGGGGCAGCAGAGCGACAGCGGGAGCGGGAGCCCAGCACGTATTGAGTCCGAGTGGGGTCAGTAACAGATGGGCAGGTCCGGACTCCCACTGTGGGCCGCGTCGCCCCGGGCAGCCACTGTCACCGGCTGGCACTGCCGTGGCATGGGACTTCTCCTCTGTGGCACTGGGTGCAGGACCCAGGGTCTCCTGCATGCCAAGCGCACACTGCACCCCGAGCCACAGCCCAGCCAGTCCAGTCTGGCTGACTGCTTCGCCTTGGGCTCCTTGGGCTGCGGTGCGTGGCACTGGGTGCTTTTCTTGTCACTGTGCAAAGATTGCTCGCTTGCCACCAGGCCCGGGAATCCCGGGAGTGTCCTCAGCCTGGACTCTCCCCAGTGATGTGAGGGGCCCGGAGGGATCTGACCACAGCGGGTTCTGAGCTCCCTTCTGCCCTGGCCCTCGAAGGAGCCACGTCATCGCGGGGCACATGCTAGACCATACTCCACACAGACGCCACCAGCCAAGCCCCCTTCTGCCCCCAGGTCCGGCGATGGCTGTGGACAAATCCCACCACTCTTGGCTAATGTGCACTCGTAAGCGTTCCTTCCCATTCATTTAGGAACGATTCTCAATTATCCTTTGCTGACCTGTAATTTTGAGTCAAGTAGGAGAAACAGGAC